TTCTTGTCCTTTGATGTACAGCCATGACATTTTGACCATGTGCACAGTTTTAGTTGTAAAATTGAACTTTGACCTAGATTTTGATGATGTGACCTACTTTCTTGTCCTTTGATGTACAGCTATGCAGTTTGAACCATGCGGTGGCATAGCATTTTTCTCAAATGCAATCTTGTTATTATTGTTACTTTCTTCAATAATTTCTTCGTGATCAATATCAGTTGCTATTAATTGATCCTGATCTGGCTCTACCTGATCGTCTGATTCTGAGCTTTCCTCACTTTCTGGCTTGTAACTTGGATCCTTCACATTATCATCCCCACCAGCTTCCTCTGCCATAAAGTCTTCGTAAGACTCATCAAATTCAAATGACATATCACTACTATAAGCTTTCTCAAAGTAAATATCTGATAGAAATGGCTCTTTCTATACCATCTTATTTGTCAGTGGTTCCTGGATTTGATTATAAAATATGTCTGCACTTGCACACATGCCATATCCCCTGCCGGGGGACAAAAACCCCCAATTTTTCAACCATGTCTCCCGATCTCCCGCCGTGGGATCGAAATCCCCCGATTTTCAAAAATTCAACCAACAAAAAAATTAAAGCATCATTTTAACCAATAAACATAATTTAACAATAGACTTAAACAACTTTTACAACTATATATGCCTGAAGTAATATTTTCCCATTAAACAGCAGGGGTCTAACGTTAGTTACTTCAACACACTTCAGCTGTCAAGGAATAAGGAATCAATGTATGACGATTCTCCTTTGATAAACCTGTCAATCAGTGTCAGTATTGCAGGACTGCTTAACCAATGACAGCGTCCGATACTAAATGTGTGACGTATCAATTTTTGTTGGGATAGGTAACCCAGCCTTGAGTTTGTTGTCGGCATTGGGTCTTTGAAGTTGATAAGTGCAGATAAAAAAATTATGATCAGGCAATAGAAACTCAAAGAATCACAGATTAGCAATGTTTGAAACTATTATTTTTTATATTATGTATTTCTTATTATGTAACTGTGATCTATGTTTTTGCAAAAATAATATAGCTTTGTCTCACAGTAACAAACAAACACTGAGGAGGGATTGAAAGAGGTAAAAAGCCGTTTCAATCAGATCAATAATAAATAATACCTGTTTTAACACCCAAAGGGCCAAAATAATTAGGTCCAATTATTATCCAGTAGTACACTGTAAACAACCTCTACACAACCCTTCATCAATTACACAGTTTACATGTACATACAGGTATCAAGTGACATAGCGTCAAGACTCCCTACTGCCATTTATGGTAAGCATGAGGCAATCGATGTGTGTTAACAAATTGAGGTGTGAAGTACATAATGACCTGAGTAAACTGGATTAAGATTTGTGTCAGATTTTTTTTTTTACTGTTTATGCATGAAGTGTCAACGGAAAATTTTTAAGGCAGCATTTTTTTATTTCACCTTTCTATGGCTACTTTACAAAAATTCTTCATGAAAATGTTGATACCTTTCATTTAAAGAGAAAAATCTTTACCTTTCATTTAAAGAGAAAAAACTTTGGCTGTTAAAGTATATTTATTTTAATGATTTTGAATGCATCAAATTCAAGTTTATTTGTACTAAAATGGTTCAATATATATCTGATATAAAAATGTTTTTATTTGTTTGGGTCGTCAGACCAAACAAATAATGGTAGCGAAATTTCAGAGCCTAATGCTGTTAATTGCAAATGCCTAAAGTAGTCCACTTTTTGAAGCGGTTACTTCCCTTTATATGTACACTAACGACAAAAAATTCAGGGGAGATCAATGCGTAAAGATTGTCAAATGATAGGCGCATTTATTTTCAAGCAAAGTAGTTCCCGAATGGTCGAATATTTCTAATATTGTTTCATTCTTTATAGATATACATGCTTACAGTAAGCTCCATGATTATTTACATATGTGTTAAGCGTCGAAATAATAAGAGTTACAAACCCTTATTTAGAATAATATGGTTTTCTTCAGGTGAGGGATTTGCACGCTCGCTTATGAATCGAGAGGTCTCGAGTTCAAATCCCAGTTGAGGCAACTCATTTTTTTAAAAAAAATTAAGTCAAATAAACATTGAATTGACTATCAGTGTTGCAATTAGTCTTATAGCCAATTTACTACAGTTAAAACACTGGAAAGCATTGGTGGCACTATACAAAAAGAGATTGGTTTATAATCTCACAACCTTCACCTTTCTGACATTCTGAGACTCAAACAAATTCAGCGCCTTCTGTGCTTTGATTATATGATATACATGCAATTAATTATATTTGTTTTACAGGGATGCTATTTTATTTACATCAAATATTTAAAGTACCTATGTTTATTTGCAATTGTTTACATATTATTCATTCACAGTCATGTATGTTAAAACTTGAAAATATCAAATGATCTTGTAGATATGTTCATTTTCATAATAAAATGGGGGAAACTTAATTATTTGCATCGTTTTAAGATTACGACTGGTTTGTGCTTGCTTAAAAATCCCCCTACTTTTGGTCCAAATCCCCTGCTTTTTAAAGCCAAATCCCCCTATCTGGGTGGCTAGAAATATGGCATGTATGCACTTGTAGTATTTGCTATTGATGCAGCCGCATTATTATTTAAATCTTGCAAACAAGAATTATGTTTATTAACAGTTTCATTGGTCTGTGGTTCCTGACATTGATTCGGAACTTATAATTTCTTCACTTCTTATGTTAGCACTTAAATCAGTTTCAAAATCATTAGAGTCTGACAGGTTAGAATTAGGTTCATTCTCAACAGACTTGCAGCTGACTGTGTGTATCGTCCTCCACAACACTATTCCGCAACGCGAGTGAAACCATTATTTACCCCTGGACATCATTTTAAAGAAAATCACTGTAGTGTTCAGTAGTTTACTATTTGTTTTCCAAGCTCACAGATAGGACAATGAATTCCACTTTCTCTAAGTGTCTGCAAATTGGAATGATTCAGTGCTTCATCGGGAAAGCTTGGATGAATACATAACAAGTGAAAGTACCTTTGGCAATCTTCAAATTCACATCGTATATAGAACTGACCTTTACGTAGAGTGAGCCCTACATCAACATTTTTTCTAAAAGATTGATCAGTACCCTATGTCAAATTCTTGTAGCTCAATTTAGAACAACAAACACAACTTTTCAATTAAGTATTAATTTCAATTATAATCAAAAGTGTATATTTAAGGAGCATAACACACTTTATGTTATTTTCGTTACAATAAGATCCTGGCTTTTAAACGAAATTTAAAAAAAGACAGGAAACCTTGACAACATTTTGTTTTTCCTCATCTTTTTGGCATATTAACAGTCAAGATTTTAAAGTTATAATGGTAAAATAAGAGTATTGTTGTAAAAATGATTAAGAATTCGGACTTACACTTTTGTAAATAAGTGATCATTAATGTTCTTCAAGCAAAGCAAAATGTTGTCGGTTACAAAAATTGGTTGTCTTGTCATCAAAAGCTCGTATCTTAAATATATGCGATTTTAACATGAAAGATGTCCGACCTGTCAGAATACGCACATTTGTCATGTGTCCACATAAAAGGTTCTAATTTGAGTAGACATAATTATGAGATATTGAGCAAAGAAAGATGATTGCGCTTGGTTTTCCGCGGTGTCAAAAGGTCAATTTCGACCAAAACCATAATATAAACGAGCTTTTGACACGAAACTGATGATATATTATTATTACATATGTGTATTCTTAGTAGAAACATAATAAAAATGTAAGGACTAAATATAAAGTAATCTAGGAACCAGAGTTTCCTCTTGGTCAATTTTAGTTTGCACCACCAAATTTGCCAATCAGAAAAAGTTTTAGCCAACGGCTCCAAAGTTGGAGCCAATAATTCTGGGAGTAAGACATGCCTATCTTTGTTAAGATAAGCTATTAGTTGTAAATCAATGTGATTACAAACACTATTTATGATATTTTATTTTATTACAGCTGTTTCTAATGTAAAATTGACATATGAATATGTGGATTTCGAATTCTATTTAGATAAATACATATGACAACATAAATGTAATCAAAAACATCATTTTAAGTCAGTAATGAGGTTGGAAGGTCCTGTTTTGCCTAAAGCAGTTCTTATCTCTCTTATTCACTCTTACTGACTTGACTGAGGCAAGATCTTTCCAGCTTCCACTGCATTCTGGTGATCTGCAAATACAAAAGAAAAAAAAAACATTACTAGAAATTAACTTCATCTAAAGAATGAAGAAGATACTTTTTTTAATAATTTTTGTGATAAGACTCTTTAGCACGTCACATTCAGATATGGAAATATTAACATATTCAACGCAGTGAACAGTATCTTTAAATCAATCATTAGTGAAATTGATATTTCAATTGTCACCTGATTTAATATTTCAAAGCGTAATTATTTTTAGTCAGTTGACAAGTGGACTTACCTGAAGTCAACATCACGGGCAATCTTGTCATTTCTCTAATTCGCTACTAACACCAGTTGACTGCACTTGTAATTTACAGTGCTCCAAATCAGAGGATTAAAGATGTAATAATATACCAATTAACACATTGACACTTTCATGTCAGCATGTTCCAAAGTGTCACACTTTATTTGATCAACAAACTAATCACGTGTGACCTTTCACATCCAACACAAAAATACTAAAAATATTTTTATGTAACTTTATGATATATGGGTAGATGGCAGTCTAGAGATTATGGACGCTTTTTTATATTTTTCCTATGTTTAAAATTGTGGTTGCTATGGCAACAAATAGACGTTTAATGTGGCAAATATTACACAAAATTTAGATCCCATGATAACGCAAAAAGTACTGGCGTGGCCAAGTGGTTAAAAGTCGGTTTGAATTAAGACGAGCGGGCTCGACATTCTGCCAGTGGGCATGTCTTGTATTACAATATTATATTGATATATCTGATAACATTAGTTGTTTAAGAAGACAGCTTAATAATGTATATTGATTTTGACAGATACTACAAAGCGTAAGAAGAAATTTGAAAAAAAAAGAATTGAGAGAATTGATGTTGAAAGTGTTCCTATAGAAAGGATTGATAAAAAGGACATGATGGTGACAGATCAAGATGACATAAAGATACTCCTGGAAGAAAAGAGGAAAGAACTGATGAAGAAAGACAGACATGATATAGGTAAACTTTCTAAGGTTTATACAGAATTATGTCTCCAAAATTTTTTAGGAGACATATTGTTTTTGCCTTCAACGTTCATCTGTTCGTATGTCCCCAATAGATATGCAACAATTTGTTTTGATGCATCAAAAATCAGTTTTGTGGATGCTGAATTGATTTCTGATATCAACTTTAACAATTTCTTTGCAGTGTAAAATGGCCACATGAGCTAAACTTAGAAAAATGTTGCCTGATTTTCACTGTTCTATCTGATGTTAGAATTTCTATGAAATTTCACAGTAGTAATCAGTAACAATCTTAGTCCGCTTCAGGGGCATCCATGACCGAGATGTTATGGTCATTGATTTCAAACCACTTGCCTCTCACCACAATAGGTATGAGCCTCACAAGTGTTGTATTCTTGTATGTGAGAAAGTTATCCTCCTAGTATACTCAGGTGCCCGTTTTTGCCTGAAAAAATGCACAAAGGTGACCTGTGGTCTACCTCCACCAGATAAGCTGGTATGATGCCATATGACCTGTACTGTGTTGGTGCAATGTTAAAACCAACAAAAAAGACCAACAAAAACCTGTTCTGCTTCATTGCACAGTATGGTCGCCAGAGCTAAATGACTGTCTGTCTGTCTCTCCACATAAAGATTGTCTGGCTTTCACAGGTCAAACTGCTGGTGTGATTTAAACAAAACTTCATAGGATTGATCATTACCAACTACATTTGTGCATATTGCTTGAAATCAAAATGAATCAAACATTTCGTGAAACAAAACAAAGGACAAACTGCTGGCAAAATTGCAGAGAAACTGCGTACCAATTATAGTTATGTATATCCCGGACACATTCCGCTTCACTGCATCAAATGGTCTCTATATCTGTATTGCCATTCGTCTGTCTGTCCACATTAAGCTTGTCTGTCTTTCACATGTCAAACTGCAGATGAGTTTTACACAAAACTTGATATGAGTGATCAGTACAAACCCTAGTTAAGTACCTGCCCTAGTTGTGCAACGATTTATTTTTGATGCATTTGTGGATGCTGATTTGATTCTAATATCAACTATAACAATTTCAATTTCATTTACTTTACTTTTCACAAAATGGCCACATGAGCTAAAAATAGAAAAATGTTTTTAACTGCTGGTGGAATTATACTGATTGGTCATAACTAGTAGATAACCCCATATTGAGTTTGGGGTCACTAGGTCAAAGGTCACAGGGGCCTTTAATGTCTGAATGGTTTCCACTCATTATCTTGGAAGCTATTTATCACAAAGTCATCATATTCCACATACTGATTGGTCATAACTATAAGATAACCCTTATTGATTTTGGGGTCACTAGGTCAAGGTCACAGGGGCCTGTCAAGAGCTAGAGCTTAAATATTTGGCATGAAACATCATCTAGTCAGTGACTACTAAGTTTCTTCAAATTAAAGCCTTGGGGACAAAATTGGCCCCGCCCCGAAGGGGGGGGGGGATCATTGTTTTTCCCAATATGTGTATAGTAAAAACTTAAAAAATCTTCTTAGAGCTAAGGCTTAGATATTTATCATGAAACATCTTCAAATGGGTGTCTACCAAGTTTGTTCAAATGAAAGCCCCTGGGTTAAAATTGACCCCACTCCGGGGGCCTATATACAGGTGAGCGATTTCAGGGCCATCATGGCCCTCTTGTTACTTTTTTTGTCAGGTGCATTACTTGAAAATTAATGGTTGGTATTCAATGCAACTTCATACAATGTTCAAGCGCAGTGAGATGAAGTTCAATGCATAAGAACAAGAACTCTACATGTATTTGGACTAATTACATAGTTATTGCCCTTTGTTAGTTTTTCTTGTCCAGTGCATAACTTGAAAACTATTGGTTGGAATTAAATACAACTTCATACAATGGTCAAGGGCAGTGAGATTAAGTGCAGTGCACAAGAACCATAACTCTTTTTGGACTAGTTACATAGTTATTGCCCTTTGGTCCTTTTCCTTGTTTGTTGTAAACCTTAAAATCAGTTTTGTGGATGCTGATTTGATTAATGTTTTGAGTTGAATTCAACTTCATACAATGGTCAAGCGCAATGAGAAGAAGTGCAGTGCTCAGGAACTGTAACTCTATCTGGAATTATTACAAAGTAATTCAATAAAACTTCATTAGTGGTCAACCAGAGTGAAAGGAAATGCAACATACAAGAGCCACAACTATCTTTATTTGCCCACAACCATAACTCTATTTCAATTATCTTACAATATATTGTGTTACTAGTAACTTCCTCATTTTTGTATCAGTCTTGCGGAGGTATTAATCACATTTAGTGATAGCTCTAGTTTAAAGTTTTGTCTGGACTTCTTTCTAATACTAGTTATCAATTTGAGGGAAACTTTACAGGATTGATTGGTATGATAAGAACTTAAGCATATTAAACAAGTTTTCCAGTTGAATGATTTTTGGCTTAGTGGCGGTTGAATAAAAAAAAGCATTTTGTTCTGTGGTGACAAACTACATGATTACTGATAGCTCTTGTTTATTATCTTTGTTCCTGCGATAAAACTAGGTTTCATCTCCTGTTGTAAAAGTCTTCTTGTCCAGAAGCTCTTGACTCAAGGGTAACCTTTGCTAATGATCTTCCATGTTCAAGTTTCTTGGTACTCACCTTGCATGCTTAAATGTTTATTGTCCCCCGCCTTTTCGAAGAAAAAAGAGGATATAAAAATAGGCTCCGTTCGTCTGTCTGTCTGTCCATCCGTCACACTTTCTTGTCCGATCCATAACTTTGTCATTTATCAAAGGAATTTGAAATAACTTTACACAAATGTTTGTTATAATAAGACGATGTGTCATGCGCAACAACCAGACCCCTACCTCAAGGGTCAAGGTTGCACTTGCTCATTCAAGGTCAACATTGTCTATTTGAGGGTATATGTCATGTCCGGTTTATAACTTTCTTATCTTTGAAGGGATTTTGTATATACTTGCCACAATTGTTCACAATTATGAGACGATGTGTCATGCGCAACAACCTGTCACCTACCTCAAAGGTCAAGATCACACTTGGAAGTCACATAGTCTGTTATAGGGTACAGTTTGTGTCCGGTCCATAACTTTTTTAAAGATCAAAGGATTTTGAAAATACTTGGCACAAATAGTCACTATTATAAGACGATGTGTCATGTGCCACACCTGCCTCCCTACCTTCAAGGTCAAGGTCACGCTTAGAGGTAAAAAATAAACATAGTCTGTTAAAGGGTATATTTTGCGTCCAATCTTCATAGTTCAAGGGATTTTGAAATAACTTGGCACAAATAGTAACAATAATAAGACGATATGTCATGCACAACACCAGCACCCCTACATCCAAGGTCAAGGTCACACTTAGATGTCAAAGGTTAACAGAATTTGTTATATGGTATATTTTGTGTTCCATCCATAACTTCTTCATAGATCAAGGGATTTTGAAAGTACTTGGCACAAATAGTCACAATGAGGTCAAAGATTTACATAGTCTGTTACAGGGTATATATTGTGTCCAGTCCAAAACTTTTTCATACATCAAGGGATTTTAAAATACTTTGCACAAATAATTATGCCCCTACTTCAAAGAAGAGGAGGTATATTGCTTTGCATTTGTCTGTTGGTCAGTCAGTCGGTCTGTAGACCAAATGGTTTCCGAGAGATAACTAAAGAAAACTAAGGCCTAGCAACTTCAAACTTGCTATGATGATTGGTCATGGCCAATAGATGACCCCTAATGAATTTGGGGTCAACGGTCAAGGTCACATTGACCTTGTAAGTGAAAACGTTTTCCGATCAATAACTTAAGAATGCTTAGGCCTAGGAACTTCAAACCTGGTAAGATGATTGGTCATGACCAGCAGATGACCCCTATTGGTTTTGGGGTCAAGGGGTCAAAGGTCAAGGTCACATTGACCTTTTAGGTAAAAACGGTTTCCCATCAATAACTAAAGAATGCTTAGACCTAGGAACTTCAACCTTGGTATGATGATTGGTCATGACCAGCAGATGACCCCTATTGATTTTGGGGTCAAGAGGTCTAAGGTCAAGGTCACATTGACCTTGTAAGTAAAAATGGTTTCTGATCAATAACTTAAGAACCCTTAGACCTAGGAACTTCAAACTTGGTATGATAATTGGTCATGACCAGCAGATGACCCATATTGATTTTGGGGTCAAGGGGTCAAAGGTCAAGTTCACATTGACCTTGTAGGTAAAAACAGTTTCCGATCACTAACTAAAGATCAAGATGTCAAAGGTCAAGGTCATATTTATCTTGTTGGTAAAAACGATCATTAACTTGACGACCCATAGCTGTTGGCCCCAAAACTTCGTAGGTGCATTAGACTTGACAATAAGATGACCCTTATTGATTATGGGGTCAAGGAGTCATATTAGCCTAGTAGGTGAAAACAGTTTCCGATCAATAACTTGACAAGCCCATAGCTGCTTTGCCTCAAACTTTGTATGTGCATTGGTCTTGGCCAGGAGATGACCCCTATTGATTTTGGGGTCAAGGGGTCAGTGTCATATTGACCTTGTACTTAAAGATGGTTTCTGACCAATAACTCAACAACTCAAGTTGCCTTGGTTTTTTTTGTTCACTAGGTCAGAAGTCATGCATAATATCCTGATCACATGACTAATTGGCTGCAGAAAGGGGGAATACATGTTTTACAAACATATCTTGTTACAATAGTAAGACGATATGTCAGGTGCAAAACATGGGTCCCTACCTCCAAGGTCATGCTTAGAGGTCAAAGATTAACATAATCAGGGTGAGCTTTTAGGATCGCTGAATGTCCATCGTCTGTTCTCCATCCACACTTGTTAGTTAACACTCTAGTCTAGGTGATAGCTCTGATGAGTTCGAACATTGGTCATCTCGGTTGAAAAACTAGGTCACAGGAGCTAAAAATATAAAAACCTTGTTAACACTCTAGCAGTCACATTTTAGCCTCAATCATCATCAAACTTTGTCAGGCTGCTTGTCTAGGTGA